AAAATTTCATGTCAATGCAATGTATTTGCATTCAATGGGAATTTTCTAATGTTCAGAAATATATAATATTTAATTGTAAAACATCTTTTATATGCCCTCACAGATTCTCTGATTTTCATAACCTTCTCGTCCGACGCGATACATTACAAATTTTTAACAAGCTTGTATTATTGTTATAAAAAATATGGAGATTTTACGCGCGTAAACAACTCCCATTGTTTTCTACGAACGCGTTATTTGCTCGTGTCGTCGACGCGATAAATCACAGAGCCTTAACAAGCGTGATCTTTTGACATTGCCAAGCGAGCGGGAAAGATTTACACGAATTCCTTCGCGGATGGTGCGTGGTTTTACCCTGTTGAAACGGAATCGATTGTTTCTGCTGCGACCGCGCTGCTAATTTTTCCCGTGGCGACGCTGGAAGTAAATTACATTTTGGCACGATGCACACTGTTAAAATGTGAAACAGTCGGCCGGTGCCTCCGACCAAACCACGAGAAACATATATATTCGAGAATGTCTAGGAACGCAGGATGTATGCCGATGGGATAAAGTACCGTATTCCGCACACCTAGCCTCCTCCGTTCCTCTGGTTCGATAATGCTTTCGTTTTCCATTCGTTTCTTTTCTTTTTCCCCGTTACCATTCCTCGCTCGTTTCTCCATGTTGGGAATCGCGCACGGAGAATTTATCGAATTCCCTTCGTTTATAGAGGACCGAGAACTTAAAGTCGCCGGACTATTCGTTTCCTCTGGAAGACTTAAGGCGACTAGTATTCGGTGTGAATCTCGTGGTCGAGGAGGATTTAACGGGCTTTGCACGGGATAAGGAAGGTTGGATTTTTTGCGAACTTGTGGGTTTGGGAGGTGTTTTAGATCGTTTAACGAGTTGTTTTAATTAGATATCGTTGAAATATCGGAGAAAGAAATCGAAGGAAAGTAGATTATTCCGATATCGTGAAATTATGCGTAGGAAATCGCAAGGAAATAAGGACATTTGGATATACCACGTACCTTAGCGCTCTTGTAATACGAAATTAATAGATGCGATACGCGAGTTACTTTCATTCGTTAGTATCGAAACGGAATACTGAGTCCTTGCGTTATGATGCAAATTATTGAAAAAATTTAATAAATGGACTTTATATCGTTGTATCTCATAATCGATAATAATTGATAAAATGTTCAAAAAATGATTTATCGTTAAGTATTACAGATGATAAAAATTAATTTATGCGAGTATTGCTCCAGTAGCGATCTCTTGAAGATTTGTAATATTCTTCATTGGGTTATTTTGGCTCACGTATCCTGGTTTCTTTTCTCTGTCGATACGTGCTTTTTATTTCGCAATCTTTACTTAAAATTACGATGCTAGATATACTTTCATCTACAGCAAGACTCTATTCAAAAACAAAACTATCCTAAAAAGAATCGTAAAATCAAATTTGCGTCTGTAATAAAAATACGCATCACATCAATTGGACCCATCACCGATTCACTCCTTTTATTCATTTCCAATTCCTTTCGAATTATCTGTGCAGTGTAACGAAGTATGAATCTGATTATGAGAGTAAATTGCTTCTCAATTGGACTTCAGTTTCACAGACTTGGTTCTGTAGCGTTTCCAATATTCAAATGCATGCGCCAAGCGTGCAAGGGAACCTTTTACACTCTAACACGTTCTTAAAAAGCGTTACTTCGGATCGGATCTTCATTATTGTGAAAGTTGTTTCCAATTTTGCGATTTTTTAATTTGCATTCCACATCTGATACATCGGTATCACACGAAAAATATAAAACTTATGCAACGTAGAGTTAAATCTTTCGTTCAACTCTACCAATCGATGTAAATCTGTTGCTACCTGCTCAGACAAATAGGAGAGATACGTATCGTTTCACTGTCGGTCGTAAAAGCGCTTATAAATGGCTGCTTACAATTGTTAAATTCACTACGTCTAATCATGTAGATATGTACAATTAAACGTATCATAAATCGGTGAAAATGTTTACTATCGTGAGCTGGATTTTTGTATACGACTAGTTTGGCCATAGTACCTAAAAGTTCGAGCTGTAATTACTTCTAATTTATGTGGATGGTTGTTCGCGCAACGAAATAAGCGTTGTACCCTATAAAGGAGTTACGTGCGTGACGTAAATCTATGTTGTAATTGTGCTAGATGCAAGACTGGTTGCTTCGTTTCCTCGGAATAACGTCCGAAGTTTCGACACTGTGGAAAAGTAAACGTGTGACGTGTGTCGCAAATGCTTCGCAATGGGTCGGGTAGCAATGCATTGCGAGAATAGAATTAATTGCTTTAGATTGAACAACTAGTTCTGTTCAGGTGAAGTGCGTTAAATTTAACGTAAAGATCGATACAATTAGTAATTAGGCAGCCGTGAATTATTATAACGTAAAGGATGTCGAAAAATATCAATCAGAAAATCCGAATTGATATTAACAAATTTTAATTGATCGTATAAATACGATATGTTCAGAAATAAGTTAGAAAATATTGAAGTATAGTGGCCATTGCCTGCGCTTTTTAAAATCACGAAATTGTAGAATTTCATTGTACAATTTTATAACGTGCCACATAAAAAAACGGACATTGTGAAAAACCTGTTCAGCATCAATCGATTCTAATTTTTTCCGTTTTCAATCGCTATTAATTGTCATCAATTGTTTACATGAATGCATTGCTATAGTCAGAAAAGGCAAACAACAAATTTGAAAAATTATTTTACCATTTAAAAGTTAACAGAAATTGAAATTGCGGGTTCAATTTTATTCCGAACAAATTAAACGGTCCACGATCACTCGGATACCTTTCCGAAGTTCAATGAAAATTTATTATTTCGAAGAATCGATGATCAAACACAAAACGTTTGAACAAATCCTCATTAATTCGTTACCACGTTATGAATAACAGCTTTAATCAGCTTTAAAATATTTTCAGTCTAAAGTTTCTACGATATATGTTAACAGCGCTTATTTGGTGCACAAAATGAAAACATTTCGTTTTCGCTCCAATTACGTTGTCTGTCCTCGTTCACGTTCGTGTAAAAAATACATACGGTCCCTAAGATGAGAGTTACGACTATTCTATGGAATACGCTAGTCTATCTTTTTCTTCAGCTTCTTGCTTTTGTTTTTTTTGCCTCCTCGAACATCTTCCGTAAACCGTCGACCAAAGTTAAGAACGAATATAAGGAAGGGAAACAAGTATCGAGACAAAAATAAAAAAAACCTTGGAATTCCCGTGAGGCAGAAAAATTAGTTTACAATTAATTAGCGTTTAAGATTCCTTACACAATCGAAACAATATTATTGATAAAATTTTACGGGCAACAAGTTACAATCATTATCAGTACACGAATAATAGGAATTTATTTTATTATTCAGAAAAATACAATTCTTTACAAAATAACTTTGGAATATGTATGTTTAGTAATTGGGAGTCACGCGAATAAACGGTTGACAAGTTAGAAATGGTGGGAACAAAATATGAGATTTTCCAATTTTCACGCAGTGTTAACCTTTTACAATATTTGTTTATTTTGTCACTATATCTAAATTACGTTGAATTGTATTAACAAAGATAAAAACTATATATCATGGCGACTACAGTGGTATCGCGATATAAAAATATTTCAGCGTGACGAATAGATTATTCTATGGAGAATAAAGCTTGTTATTAGGTAATCCCAGCGATTTCGTTTATTGAAAATAACGATGAACAAAAGTCGTCGGGATATACGGATTTCGCAAATATGGGGATCGCATGTATATACCGTATAATCGTAGATACAGCCTCTCTAAATATTCATATCGCGTATTCCGAGCGAGTATACGCCATTCCCAACACATGGATCGCCGAACGAATATGATCGTGAGGCATAAAAACCATTAAATGCACGATGAGCGCTATTTATTTGCCATTTAATCGTTCTTCCGCGAACGTGCTGCTAGTCCTTGAAACCTATGAATACAGCCCCAATTGCTAAGACGATCATTGTCTGAATAACTCGCGCTCCTTACATCGAATAATCCGACAATAATATCATCCAATTTCTTCTACCGCATCGTTTGCTACTGTTCTCGAAATTTTGACGCGTATTAGATACATCACAGTACTAAATCACGCGATTATTTTATTATATGTTCACCTTTTGTTTCGTATTCTTTATAACGTGCTGCGTTAACTTCTTTTTTATTCAGAAATTAAATTATTCTTAGAAAATTGTCAGTGAAATAGCATTTTAATACACGTTTGCGCGTCTATGCATAACTATGAGTTGTTTAAGTTAGTTCCAAATTGCTTTTAAATATTATTCTTAAACCGCGGATGTTTATGCATTTATGAGAAATTCAAATACGCAAAAACGCAAAGTGTACGTAGTATGTCACAATATACAAAATATCATAATATTTGCCATAATATTTAGAGAATCCCATTTCATAAAAGTATATATTTAGAAAAATATGAATTTGCGTAAGTATCTACAGTATATTTATCATTGTTCAACGTTATTTCAATTAGTGAGAATTATTAAATATTCCAGCTTCCGCTTTCCGCTCATTTACCAATAACATAGTCAACAAAGCATTATTCAGATACGAAGTAAAATTAACGAGTCTTTTGCAAATCGTTTCGGTGAATTGCGTCTACCGTTCGATAATTAACGCGATCGTCCAATTGTATCTGTATAATTAATTGTAAAACAGTGTTTACAGAAACTCTACGGTAGCCTACGGTCATATTTCTTTCAGAGTTATCCAGGTGGAAGAATAAATTGCTCCGATTCACGAGCGGGAAAGTTCGAACCCGTGAATGGTCGCATCGAATCGGAAGCAATATGTTAGCGTTAATGAAGCATCCCGCAGACGTTTCATGCTTGTCTCGTCGAACAGGGTCGCAAATGTACACGCGTCGTATTTCCACTGATGGATATTGGAAAAGTTGCAGGCGACACACCAACCAAAGAATCACCTTTGTCCTGTTTACTTCGTGCTCGTCCCGCCTATCTCGCAATCCCATAACTTTTCGTTCTTCCCGTGGCTGTTTCCCTTTTCCTGTTCGGACTCCAACCGGTAATATTCCGACGAATCACTGGCATGTTAACGCGAAACCTGCGCCTGAACATCCGGATTTTACCATTTTTCGAGACTTGTCGAGGAGAGATATTTCAGAATTGTGCGTTACATTTTGCTGGCTCGAAACGCTTAATCTTCAAAGTAAACCGAGCTATCCTACCTTTGAGCATTTTTTATGTTAGTTTTTGTTGATTTCTTTGCTTGGTAAGGACTTTCATTGTTGGTTTTATTGAGGTTCAGTGCTTACCTTCCTTGTAGTGTGTTTCGCTTTTGCATGGGAGATTATACTCTTAAATGAGAACATTTTGCATCAATATTTCGGCACTGCCTAGGTATACACAGCCTCTGAATTCCGTGTTTCAACAGATTTTTACGTTCGATGGTTCACGGATGTTTCCGACAGATAAGAAATTTTTCTTTGGCGGGAACAGCGGACGGCTAGCTATCGATATCATCGGCTTCGACGTATACTTTTTCATTTTATTGAATATCCTGTACGCAAATTCGTATCTATCTTACACGACAAATATTCGATTCTACGAAAACGTATTTCCTTCGATCGCTATCACGGCATGAAAACCACACACACCGTTACCCGTGCTTCCGAGATATCTCGTCTGGGTTGTGTAAATTTATCGACCACTTGGACAAGAGCAAGGTACTTGATACAGAGACGGTGGACGTATGTTACCACGGGTAACTTACCTATAAAATCGCAGCGCAGAATTTCTAATCAGGGATACGATTTAATTGCATCCTTGCAGTAGTAGCGAATATATCGATTTACAAAAGCTCATTTTCTTGTCATCGAAAAACAAATATTACGAGATCATACATAGATAGAGGGTTTCGTCCTTTGCATTTTTACAAGAAATCCAGGATATGTTACTTTAATAAACTACGCCTTTGCTTTTCTATTATGTAGTAAGCTGAATGAATTTTAAAGAAAGGATTTCGTGTAAATTTAAATTTATTTTTGAGGCACGATGATGGAAGTTTTTACAAAATCTTATTAACATGTCCGCAATTAAGTGTGGAATGTATATACGTATATGTGCAGCACGTGGTTGTCGCCATAAACTATAAACCGCTGTTATATGCACACAATTTGTGGTGGATTAAATGGCAATATTTTTTAGCATGATGCAAAGATCCGGTATTAATGTATGATTTCGTTTACATATTATTATATGTTTAAACTTAGAATTTCATGTATATTTTCGCGTCACAAAAATTGAAATGGAAATTTTCATTTAAGTGAACACTTTTTCATATTGAATATTTTGTCACATTTTCCATTTTAATCATAAATACGCTTTTGTATTTTTTAAATTTCTCTTTACATCGAGAAAAGAAAATATGTATGGCAATCTATCAGTATGATTAATTTTTCTCCGTGTACCCAATTTACTCAATCCATTAAGGGCTTCCTTTGATCATCTAGGAGCTTCTCCCAACTATTGACATGCTTGTTCGACATAACCCTTTTTCGCCTATTAGCTTACCGCAGTTTATAGAAGTTTTTTAAAGTATTTATAATGTTAGAAACATCCGTCATACATTAATTTGTACAATCCCACACTGCGTCCATCTTCTTCTTATTAATTATTTCCTATCTTTATTAACGTTTCGCGCGATTCTTAGCGTTTCTATTCTTACGCGTATGAACGCGCCTATCTCCGACAATCCCTTGACTTGGACACGAACGTTGTGCGCTGAATAACTGCGGTTATCAGCTACGATGTACGAATGTGTAGGGTAGAACTGAAGTGGACACACTTGTTACTTCAATAATAACAAGGAAAGCTTGAACTTTAATAGAAACGTATGAAAACGAATATACCACAGTATATGTATATATCTTTTTGAATATATGCGTTGCTCGTACTAGAATTGAAGGATGCCTGACATGTTCAAACGTTGTCTGAATGTCATGCGAAAATGTCTGAATTAGTTGAATGTCAGAAAGTATTTGATTCTTGAAAAATGTTAGAAGAATGTCTAGTCCGCTCGAACTGTTTAAGTTCTCTCTGATTTGTTCAGGACGCACGCTGATTGGTTGTTGTCAAAATTAATTTTCCGATGAACGGCATCCTGAGTGTCATAACTACCCTTCCATATATCCTTGACACGCCTTTTCCTAGTAATGTTGGCGTGATACCTGAATTGACGCAAGGTGTTTGGTTTTTTGGGAAGGTTAGTAACTTCGGTAACTTGTACCATTACAATATGCTTCCAAATTACCCTTCGAAAATACCGAGTTTATAACACGTTGCTGCCCACTGAGTGCGGAATAAATTACAATTTTAAAGAGTATGCAGTATATTAATAATTTAATAATTTAAGATTCCAACTGAAAAATAGCCTTTGCCACGAACATGTTATAAGTTTCATCGACAAGGACGTCGTTCTTTTGATGTTCCGGATGGAACATTATGGATGAATGTATTACACCTTTTCTCTTCGACAAAATCCTTCGACCACTTAACCTTTATCTCTCATTCGTTAAAACTTACATCATTCGAAAGGAGCAAGCCACCCGTCCGTCACACCGAGTTTAATTTATTAAAGATCCAATTCCAGTTTTATGTTATTATTAAAGTAACACATTGATCGGTTCCGTCATGTAAATTCATTGACCACTCTGTCGCCTTTACATGTCACACTCTAGATATACACACCCGTACACATACGTGTCTATAGTGACATTCAGCACACACTTGCGCTCGTGGCAACGTGTTGGATATTGGTAAAGTTGCACGCGACATCCTGCTACTCGAACAACCCCCGTTCCAACCTATCTACCAGAATTCCGAACTCCAGCTGCTGTTGCCTTTTCACTCCCGCTCTCTGTTCCTACTTCCTCGGCTCTTCCCCTTTCGGTAACCTCGATGCGGTCTCTTGAGTTTCGTCAAGGAGCTCGGCTAAGTCGAAATAAAAATACCAATCGAGGGTAACTGCCAAAGGGTTGAGGTTGTAAGGGTTCGACGCGGTTCGATGCATGGCGATAAAGCGATACGATCGGCCGTTCGCGCTGCCTCGAGAGGCAAAGATTCTCGTGGATCAGCATCGGTGAAGAAGCTGACATGCCTTGGTACGATTGTATTTATGACTGTTGATTTATCGGCTGCACATTTGCTATGAATTGTTACGCAACTCGTCATAGGAAGAAAATTCGGGATTATGGCACTTCGTTGGTGAAAAGATTAAACCGAATGATTTGAAGTGATAAACATTCAACTGGTATTATAAGCAGTTCTTTGGTATTGCTATATTAAAGGGGAAATCCTCGAATCAATTATTTAAGTACGTTCCATGCATTAATGCTCATATCACGACATTAAACATTGTGATTATTAAACGTTAAGAGCAAGCCAAAATTTCGTATAGTACATTATACGCTATCACACTCACAATGGATACATACTCATTAATAAACAATGTATTTCGATATCATATGTACTGAGTTATCTATCTCGTAGCTATCTTTAGTAATATACGAGTACAACTCGAACAGGTTGAAATAATGACCAGATAACAATTAATTAATTCACTCTCCTCTGTTCCAAGTCGATCGAACTATTCTACACTTAAATTGTACGTCGACGACTCGTTCATCAATTTTAATCCCCGATTTACTTTCGTCCCTTCCCTGGCTCACGTCAATTCGTTGTATAGCGGCGTACAAAAATCGTCGATCATATTACGGATCCTTTCAACTCTACTATACCATCCTAAGCCTCAATTGTATTCAACTATATCGTTGAATCATAAATGACTATAATTATCTGAATTAAATTACTTGATTTTTAAATATTCAACCTTCACTTGTGTTTTACACATATATATTTACTGCAATAAAGGTAATTGATGACGATATATCAGAATATAAAATAATATCAAGTAACATGATATTTAAAACGAAAATTGTTACAAAATTATCGGTATTATTAAGAATGATTATTTTATTTGAAACCTTAATCTATAAAAATAAATTTATTTTTTTGGATGCATCTACCGCCCTTCCTATCTTCCTCGATTATTTTAACCAATTATTTTAATCGGTGTACGTTCCGTGTCGCTTCCTTCGTTGATCACACGAACGAGCTCGAATCACGAACAATCCTTGTTTCTTCCTAGCTGGTCTTGTTCCTGTTTTTCTTTTTTTCAACGTCATTTTTATTCAAGGGAATAACGAGCGTCGCATTTCGTCGTCGAGAAGGCGAAACCGATCGCCGAGACTAAGTGGACCGAATGAAGACTAATGGGAATGAAAAATGAGAAACGAGAGAGCAGGGACAGGTAGGGATGATGGGTAACCGGAGTCCTGTTAGTATTCATGGAATTCCCTGCATTCGAATTATTATTGATTCGGCGCGACGCGACGCGACGAAGAAATTGGCTGAACTGAATTGCGGTTTCCGCGACGAGCTTTTGCGCTTTTGAATGTGCCAACATTTTTGAGTTTGCTGGATTTGATTTGATTATGCTATTAGAAGAAATGGTTACGGAAATAACTAGCCTATAAAAACAATGGTACATTTCTTTTAGGAAAGTGATTTGTTCGATAAGCGATATTTTATTTATTTGAATGAATTCAACAGATTAGTAGATTTTAGTTTGTTTCATTCGTAGCTAAAATAGCATATCCTTTGCAGCTAAATAAATATTTTATTATCGTTAATACCCTTTCGGGAAATGTGTATATCGAATACAAATGTTACTAAGTGCGTAATAGAAGAATTTCGATTTCAACTATACCAAAGAATTAACCTACATATTTACCTACATTTGATCGTAGCAGTTAAAACAGATAGATTTAAAACAGATCAAAAGAATCCATTGGAACGACGATTAAAAAAATAGGGAAAGAGAGAAAAGGGTAAAGAAATAAACAAACCCAGACAAAATTGCTCGATGACGTGGGCGGATGAACGAGAGACAAGGCTCGCTAATACCGGCGATCCGCGGTGGGCGAAAAACAAGCGCAGCACGGCGTGCTGCCAGATATATACGCGCGCCAGTAATTTTTTAATTGCGTTTCCATCGGACATTTTTATGGTCGACTATTCCTCGCGCAGCTATAGCCGTCGGGCATCCGCTCGCAACCATCCCCCTCTGAAACCATTTCACGCAGCCACCGTACCTATATACCTACGTACGTACGTACGCGCGCCTGTGCGCGCTCGTTTTAAGCGGAGCGTTCTGAAATTAAATGAATCTGGGTTGCTTCGTGAGAACGAACGAAAACACGCGGTAAATACAATTGCTATGGAGTTTCCTCGCTGTGGATAACCGTGCATAGCTCGCTTCTGGTACTCCAGTCAGGGTCAATTCGTGGAAAATATCGAAAGTTAGCCAGAAGAATCGAACAATGAAGAAGGCACTTCGACTCGACATTATCAACTAAGTAGCTTGACGTCTCAGGATGACGGTGGATGAGACTTGGATAATTGTGATATTTTTATTTGTGTTACGTTACGAACGATTGATAAAGTTAAAGTGATGGACAGTAATGATTAAGGGTTTTGTGGAAAGTTATGTGAAGTGAAAGACAAGATGAAATACATGAACAGAAATAATAAATTTAATATTTCTTAAGTTAGCCTTTCAATTAAATAAATGAAAGTTTTGTTATGGGAGGCAGTAGTCGAAATCCAGGTATCCATAGCAATTACATTGTTTTGTTAAATTTTACTTTTAAATTTACGCGTACCCTCGCTGATGAAAATTGGATTTGTAAAAGCGAACGTAGATTCTAAATCTCAATTTGTCTACGGTCATGTGTATTGATCACGATTAGTCGAGATTTCCTAGCAATCTTCATTAATCACAGAAGACTTAGGCTATTCGTAACCCTTGAATTCGATGTAAAGTTTGTTCGCAGATTTATTTTCAGCCATTTAAAGGTTAATTCATCACTGATACATTTTTATGAAAAGCTATCGAGAACTTGTTTTATTGTACGAATGTAATTTACAGTAAGAAATTGCACAATTTTACAGCTTAAGCTACTTGTGATTTAAAAAAACATGAGCCGTTGAAAACGCACTTTGTTTAAAATCTATATCTCTACTGATTTCTGATAAATATGACTCTCCTTCCAACGGTTTCGTCGGTACATAGTATAGCATCGCTGGAAGACTGTTTATGAAAGATCGACAAACATAAGCGGGGCCACGACAAAGCTTAAGTACTAACAGGCCTAATGGAGCATTGACTAATGAACACGTACGTAGTGGGGATATCGAAAGATGACAAAAGGGAGGAAAGCAGATTAAGAGATCAGTTGTCAGTAAGCAGTCGTCAGTACGTGTCGTGAGTCGAGAGTTGTGAAGAAGCCGCTAATCGAGTTAATAAACGAACTGTTAAATAAAACGCCGAGTATTTCTTTGGCACCCTACACGTCCTACACCTCAAATGAATTTAAATGGACACTGTTATGCTGTCACAACCACCATATGCTTGGGATAGGTCAGTGAAATCGTGCAAGCGAAATGTTTGACTGTGTGAGAAATACGGAGACAATAAAATAATCAAAATTATACTTCGCTTCAAACGACGATTTCTTATGAACCGATCGTCTTATTAACATAAAATACAAAGCACTTTGAAAAAGGAAGCTTCTAGTTTATATCAACATTGAAAATATATTTTTACAACTATTTATTATAATGTTACCATATTTTAAATGGTTGGTTATTACAGAGGCGTTCCATGTTAAATTGATTACTTTTGATGACGTCAAGAATTTTTTTTAAGGCAAAATCCAATACGGTTGAAATATGAAAATACAGTTAATACAAAGATACCCATGTTTCGTATTTATCGAACCCTTTTTAGACATTACTTCTAAAGTAATCTCTAAGGCTTCCCGATACATGCCTCGAACATTAAATTTCACAGCCAAGAAAAATAACCTTCCAATACCCGAGCACTCGAACGAACAAAGACACTCGAAAGAATCCAATTTAAACCGAGGAGACGAAGGAAGCACATTGTATCGTACATCACTGCACCTACGCTACGATTCTACAAATGCAGAGAAAGCTTACAATCAACTCTCGTTTCCCGCTCTCTTTCGATCAATTTACATGCCCTTCCGGTATCGCTTAATAGCCTGTCTTCACTTTCGTCCCACTCGACTCATCACTTCCGTTTGTTTTCGTCTCTTTGGTAGCATCCCCGGTCCGAGTTGCCCTCCCCTTTCCAGCTATCCACCACCTAGGATCAACGAAGCTTTTATTAGTTCGACGCGGGCATGTACAACGCTCGTGGAACAGGGAGGCGTCGATGCTCGCTGGAAAAGCGGTGGAGACAAAAGGACAGAGGAGGACAGGGGGTCGAATTCCCAGTAGATCACTGTCAGGCCTGGAGAAGCCAATATAAATACCTCAACGCCTCGCCAGCTTTGCTTCTCGCGTTGCTGTACAGCTGGCTCGTTGTAACCTGTCTGTCCCGTTTGTTGTCTCCTCTCTCCTAGAAAAAGACTCGAAAAAGGCCGCTGAAAACATTGGGCTTTACGTTCTTCTATGGAATATATTATAGTTACACGTTTCTACAGAATGTTGCTGCGTAAGATATTTAGAGTAAGACGTTTGGAGTAAATTGATAGATCTCTAGATTGTTAAAGGAATGATTGCCAACAGAAAAAGTACTTTAGCTTTTTTACTTTTTTAAGTTAACCTGTCACCTTATTTATAGTGCATCTTAGTTATTTATTTTCATATAGAATCAAAAGGGCCCATTATTTATAGGATGATCTGATATGAGATTATACACGTAAGATGGGAGAATGGGGGAAAGGTGACTAAGGACACATCTTTCAAGAAGCGAAAAGTATTATACGCGCGTATCACCCGAGAACGTATTATTCCACGTACATTCGACTTCATTTTGTTATTCTCCGGACTGGCTTCCGCCTTAGTACTCCACCCAATGAACTAGTTTCCTTCCGGGTGGTACGTGAATTCAAATTTGACGGGAACTCGGCCGGCTCTTAGAGTATCGCTACGAGTTAGTTTAGTGGGAGTGCAACGACTCTCCTCGAGACGCAAGAAAATTCGCCACGGTGCGGTTTATCCTTGTGAAACTTAATCGCGATTGTTCCGCCCCTTTTCAAGACAAGACAAGGAATATCGTTGCTTCAAGAGAATCTTCTATTTAGCGCAGGGAAGTTTCTTTACTCATTAGAAGCGCGTCTTATGCTTGTCTGATGATACTGCTGTTCTTTTAGCCTGATTTGAACGTATTGGAGTTAAATTTTCGAAGTAAAAGGAGAAATTGAGTCAAGAAGTGTGTTTTACTATGGAAAATCATTTTGTATTGTTCGTTTTCGAACAAAGATTTCTAAGGTAACATTCTCGTACAATAAATTATTCTCTTCATACATAGAAAGAGAGAGAGAGAGAGAGAGAGAGACTGTCTTGAATGTATTCACTATTTTACATTCTCTAGTTCATTTTTAATTATTATATTTAAATACGATTTACATTACTTTATAACAGTTTCCCAACGAACTCATCTACTGCAAAAATTTAAGACCGAAAAAGAAGGAGGATCATGATGTGATCGCTGCACTAGCGAACCAGATAAACGATCGCGTATCGTTATTCTCCAGGATTCTCGATTCCTCGTACCTTTGGACAAGAATGTGAGTATGTAACGTTCTCTTGACGCGTACGTATGTAGATTCCGTGTCTGCGAAGAGCAACGATATGCTATAAGTTATTCCACGTATAGTCAACTATTCCATTCGCCATCCGGGGGCTTACTTGTTCGGATGGGTCAAGCACGCGACAGCCTCTCTCAGACGCTCGTTTTTCATCTGTCTCTGGAAGGACAGAGGGTTGACGGCGCGGGGAATTGGCGTCCCTTCCAGGAACACGTACTAAGAACATACTGGAATATCTCGTCACGTAGGTCCGGCAACTTGAAGCCAGAATTAAGGGAAACTCGCGCTCCAAAGTTCGCCCCCTTTCTTTTGCAATGGCTGACCAAAGTTGAGACTGATTCCCGATTTCACGGTTTTTGCCGTGTGACGCCCGAACAACCATCGAGACTACGATCTTCTTCAATATCCGCCAAGTTTCCTCTTGTTTCTTGCCCTCCGTCGAGTCACGACTTTCGTATTTTAGTTCTTCTCTTCTTTTCGTTTCTTCGCATTTTGTCTTCCTTTCTCCTTCCGATTTTTTCATTCCGAAGTTGGGGAGAGGTGTATTGATTAAAAAAATAGCCGCAGGTATGATTTAGTTTCGTCGATGATTGCCGAGAAACGAGAAGTTCCTATTTTCGTTGATGAAAGGAATAATGGTTATTGAAGAGAATTTTGTAGTTATGTGATTATTATAAATGTAAATTGGGTAGAACACGTAGGTTGCTAATTTTTCTATAACTGGCATCAATCACACGGTACAAGTAATTTTTAATGGCATACCAGTTCTTTGTAGAACTATTTGTTTTACGTTCTCTAAAAGGATTCGATTTTTTTTTTTTGTTAGAAACATTCAAAGAGGCGCAAAAATTGTTTTCATAAAGAAACGATAAAATGGCTTCAATTAAAAATTAAATTGTGATAATTGTGTTCCGTCTGGATATTCGTATAACGAGTTGATATTTTCAATTAGATCATTTTTTAATCGACATAAAAATGGGTATGACAAAATTTTGCATAAATCGATACGACAGATTTACGATGTTATTTGTATTTTTACGATTTTTAGCTAATTGGATATTATCCTACTCATTTCACAAAATACTATCGTTTCAATAGAACATGTGTTCGATTCATCAATATTATTTGCAATTTCAAACCATTTTATCATCAAATAAATGCAAGTAAATGTAATTTTAAATGTCGCGAAATTTTCGATAAAAACACTGTTTTATGAATTATTATCTAACAAATAGTACTGCCATATTTGCAATTGGCCAAGTGTGCTATATATCTTCTCGTTCACCTCTTTAAACAGTAATTCCGCAATTTTAATTTCAAGCCTTTACGAACTTAAATTCGTTGAGGGATTAAATCCCATTCACGGGCAAGTATTGCTTCTTCGCAACACATGTACACTGCAAAAAGGAATACAATGTTCAATCGGTCGACAAAAACGAACGCTTTGGCGATTACTCCCTTAAGCTTAAATTCTCGAAACATTCATTCCTTTGAACCTTCTATTTTTTACGTAGAAATATTCATTTAACGGTATTCAGGATTCTTACTTTTTAAGGATCGAACGCGGAGAAGCTCGTTTAATTGCTTGCCGTGTTTATCTTTTCACGTGATACTTCTATTACTTTAATGATCGGCACATGATTTCATTATCGATCACGTATGCCATGTGAGTACTAGAGTGGTGTAATGAGCCCTTCCTTCATCCTCCCAGTCTCGTTTAGGACAGCTTCTCTCGTCCTCTGTCGAACGACCTCGGATTTCCAACTCTCCTTCCCCACCTTTGTAAACCTTCTCGACTCTCCTTTCTTCCTTCTGTTCTCTTCTCTCTTTGACCATTTCACGGCAGCTGTGTTACCAGCCTTTCGGTCCTGCACACCCTTCACCACCCTCACAATTACGTTGCGCGTGCTCTGACTAGAGAAACATACACCACAACTAACATCCCCTTCAGCAACCCACCGGAGACGGAGACGAAAGACGACCCCCCTTCCCTCTTTTCCTTGAAAAACATCGTCTCCTGCATTTATAGCCGATTCTTCTTTCCCTTCCTCGCTTTCCTCTTTGTATCCTTTTTTTAATTTCTTCTTTCACTCTCCAGCTCTGCCTGGATGTTTGCTTTTGTCGTTTTTCGAATCTCTTTTCTCTCCGTAGAGCTTGACCTTTACTCACGATTCTTCTTTTGCATTTGTTGCTTTCTGTCCTCTCTCTGCGAGTACAGTACTTCTTCCGGAATTCCGACCTCTTCCGCGCACATTGTTGTGTTACACTTTTGTGTTCCACTAGTTTATTCCAGTTATTAATTCCATACCCTTGCTGTACATCTAACTTTGTTCATTTCGCTCATTTTCTCCGGAATATTTTCTTTTTCATTTTCATTTTTTGACGTTCGAGGCGTAGGAGTTCCTTCTTATGTTTTCAAGACCAACTTCTTCCGTAATCCCATTTCTTCCTCGTACATCTCTTTCGTGTAATCTTTTTCCCTTCAATATTTCGTCTACTTGCTTTTTCTTTTCTTAATTTCTTTCAGAATCTTCCTTGTCTTCTTCTGCTCTGATTCCACTCTTTCAATGAAATTGTTCTTTTTCCCTTGTCGTTACCATTTTCCTTATTGAAACTTTTTGTACTGTTATTAAATTGCATATTTCCGCCATGTTCCTTCGTTTTTATCTGTTTTCAATCTTTTGCCGTTGTGCCGTTTTCAATTGCATTATTACGTGCTATGTCAAACATTGCATCTTTATCGGTCGCATATTTTATCGAGTGAAACTAATTAAAATTGAGGATTTACATCATATTTAGGTTTTTCTATTTTACTATATGTAGTAATCGTAAAGAGGACAAATCGCTCTAATGCGACCAGTTTAATAGTTACTGTTCTTAGAATAGTAATTATTCTCGTTACGTCGTTGCCTTGGATCGTGCTGAATTTCCATTTGGTAAAAACCCTTTGAGATCGAGTAGAGAATCAATAATCTCTAAAGTAGCTAATTGTTGTGAATGAGCTCGATAAGTGGTTCAGTGACAATTTGAATTGAATCTTGGAATTTTGACATAGCAACTCGAATGAAAATTTCGAATTTGACTTCTGACCGATGAAACCGAAGTTTGCTAAAGCTTAGCTTATATGCTAAAAGTGGAAACTTTACCTTTGAGGAAAGCATGAATCGGTATTAATTCGAGAGCACCGCGATGTTTATCAAATATAAACCGACCAACATTATCGCGTATAATAACGCTGCCGCTGCATTTACGATGTTTACGAAATATTAACATTTGGAAATTTTATTTCGATATATACAACGATATGATACGATAGGTATAATGTTCCATTTTCTTGGTTAACGTATTGAATTACATGTATAACGTGTAATTCAATAACATAAGAGTATAATGTTAGCACATACATAGCACCTGTGAATATATTTCCTTCTTTCTCATCATTTCTACCTTCTCCGAAATAACGAAGTCAATGTGTAACATTACAAGGTTCTTCAAGCTTATCACAATTAATTCATTTATACGCTTCTCGTTTAATAATTGGCACGGCTTGAACTCTTATACATAAAAGCAAAGGAGAACACAGTGTTCCAGACTTCACGGAACTTTTGTAATCACTTTAAGTGCAGTCGCGTACGACTTGATGAGAATTCGAGCGAATGAAATGAACACGAAAATTCGTGACAGAATGCTGATGCTTCCGCTCGAAAATCGCATCGTTTAGGAAATTGATACCGATTCGTTTCTTCGATTCCATGAAAACTAGTAAAAGATTGGCGGTCATTGCGAATAATTGGATAAGCTAGCTTTTGAATTAATTTTATAGTCTTAGATAATTTAAAGATTATAGGTTAATAAAAGCCAGTGATTGGCCAGTTTTATCTTTAATATCTATTTTTACTATTTAGATCGCTACGTTAAAATTCTCTATGCTACGAAACGGAATTTGTTTTAAATTATCTTGGCAACCGCAACTAGACTTCGAATGGCAAAACTAATAACCGTGCAATTACAAGAAGTTTTAACGTATTGTCAAATATTCAATGCATGCGTTTTCATGAAACTTTCGAGAGAATAAAACTCATCTATTTGCCTATTTCAAATCATTTTCTAGCGTTTACGCAATTTTTGAACAACTTCAGAAGTAATTTTTATTTTGTCGTAGAGCTCGTACCATATTGTTGCATCAATTTTCATATAAATTTCGTCATATGTATATTTTTCTAATATGCGTCAGATAATTGAAATTTGGGAATACAGTAGCGAGACGTATTTATGAATAATTATAAACAATTAATAATATTCAAAGAAAATTAATAATATTCAAAATTCCACAGGAAGTCTGCAATTGCAGCTCGCAAAATTTTGTCAGTTTTGTAAAAGGAAATATCAATACATGTAATGAATCGAACTCTAAAATAGCGTATTCTTGTTACCCGCGTTGCATATTTAGAGCTGATCGAGAATTCGTACAAAATGTATAACGCAGTCTATTTCCATTTGTACACTCAACCTCTTAGGTACGGTTGAATTTTGTGCGGGGCTGTTTCTCTGTACGGCAGAGTTTGACGCGAATTACGCGTAAACGATATACGGTACTGCAATGTGTGACAAATGATAATGCTGTTCTCTACGCAAGCATATTGGAATGAAGCTTTTTATAAGTAAATTACAATTTTTCTTAAACATATGATGCATATACTTTAACTTTAATAATTTACTTTAATAATTAATAATACAATTGAGTGTGATATATTTTAAAGCACGGTATGTCACATAGACCACGTCACAACTTTCACACTGATAGGGTGACAATGTTTTTCAAATTGCTCTTCGTTTTCTAATTTGAAGCGACATTTTGAGGTTGAAGATTCTACAAAATTATAAGGGTATGTTACGGATCGGTATGTTAAAAAGAGCATAATAATGGTATTTTTATTTTAACGGAAAGCAACAGTTGATATTTGACGCTGGCGTATCAAAAACAAAGACTATATATTCTGTCTATATAACACTGTTATAGAACGTTGCGAGGGCAAGAAAAACGTGAAACAAGACAAATAAAAAAGATCATTTAGTTCAAACGGTGAATGAGTCAGTAAAGTGAGCCACTATAGTGGCGTGTCGTAATATAAGATGACATCCGCGAAAACCAGTATAGTGGCGCATCGTACCTAAGTGATTAATTAGAGTAACTAGGTCTCTGTAGAGAATGTGAGCAGGAGCGAGGGAGGGGAGAGAGAAACGAAGTTTGTTTTGCACTCGGACATCAGGCCAATACCCTATCAGTGTCAGGATCGTTCGTTTTAACGCATTTGTAGGATATAAGCTATGTAAGCACACTGTTTAATATTAACGCTGGTTACGCGTACATCATATCGCGGATATTTACGTCGGACCATGCGCACACACTACGCTTTCAGCACGAAGGGGTTTAATATTTATAATGCACCAGCGACTTGCCCTGGCAAGAAGTGTAAATGTTTTGTCAGTGACTTCTAAAACTAACTTTTAGCGCGATATACGAGATCCGGAAAGGTGGAAGGTATTTTTGTCAATAACTAACGAACCGAAAGGATGTGGTTATTTATTAGGTTTGGGATGAAATCATTGTAAATAGGAAAGATTAAAATACTGCCTACAATAGCTAAAATAGCTAAAGATAAACCAAACTAAAAGGTGATGCTATTCTCGAGCGGAGATTTTAATTTTATACCTGTGTCAAGAAATTTCTAATGCTCGATTATAGCTTGCGGAGCAATTTTGTATATTTACACAGATTCACGGTACAGAGCTCGCAAATTACAAACAAGCGTTTTCTTGAATTCACCGATAAGATGCGTTAAGAAAGAATTTTATTATGTTCGCTTGCGATTCATGGCTGCACCACCATGAAATGGTTCTCCCCCGGTTCCCATTACCGAGAAAATTTATCCTGGGCATGTATAAAGTTAGCGGGGCCGATTTGCCATCAGTCAACGAGCGGCAAACAGGGAGAAAAGTGTGATCTGTCAGCGGACAAATGGCGACCGTCGACCGCCCATTTCCATTGGCGTACTTTCCCATACAATTTCACTTCTTTCCACTCACCTTATTCGATTTCACTACCAAATGCGAGAAAATATACGTTTACCGCGATGGTCGTCGAGCACATATCCTTCTCCAGCCTCCGATCCCTCCCCACCTTCCTATCCTATCCCATCCCATTCCTCGTGGCTCGTGGCTCGTGGTATGTTTTTCCGGGACTACGAAGAGAGAAGAGGCTCGAAGAATGAAACACGAATCAAAGTTTGCCGAAGGAAGGCGGACTGAAACAGCGAAAGGAAAGAGTAGAAAAGAGAAGAGCGAATAGGGTGAACGACAGAGAGGGATAGAAAAGTGCGAAAGAGAAAAAAGCCGCGGGCTTTTGAGTCTCGATGGCACACCATAATGTATATATCATTCCGATGATCCGATCGGTGAGTTACGGAGTTTCGAAGTACAAGAGTGGATTTACGGTAGTGCGTGGAAGTTAGCCGCTGATCCGGCTCCAAGTAGCGGAATTCACTCTTGCACTTTCGAACACCATAATTCACAAACCGGTGGAATATTCGGGATTTCAGAGCGTTATGGAATAATTTACAGTATTCCGTTCAAACTTTATTTTCTTTCTTCTTTTTTTTTTATCTCGTTTTCATCTCATCCGAACGACACGACGCGACGACGTTAAAAGCGTGGTATTTTTTCGTTGACTTTTTGCGAAACTCTTTCGTTTCGATCCGACTGGGAGATGATTCGATCAGCTTTTCGGTTTGTTTAGTGCCGTAGTATATGCTCTGCCATGCCGATGCGACGGGAAGATTGTCACGTCGTAATTTGTGAACCACGGGTAATAGATGAGAGATTGTTCCGATAGAAATGGAAATATGCGCAAAGTTTCGTTATCAACGAAAAAATATTTTAGAACTATCGTCGAATGTTTCATAATTGCATATTTATTTGTTACATTTTGATCAATCATTTGAGGCTATATAAAATTCGAGAATGAAACATTTCGAAGCACCTCACACAGTAAATTAATTACCTATGAAATTTATGAAAAACATACGATTCCAATAATTATAACTTATCAACTTCCTTTAGAAAAAAGGGGAAAGATCGTACTACGTAACGCGTATCGCAATCTGCGATGAAATTTGATCCAGCAGCGAACGAGGTCTGGAAACACGCGATATCAGCAGTCGGTGATCTGATATCGGTCTTTCGAAACAAATTTAAATCAATCAATCAAGCATACCCATCGCAAGAGCGAGGTTCCTCAGAATCCCGGCGTTAAATTTCAAGCGTGCAAATGGTAAACATTTTCCGGAGTTGGCGGTGCTCGTAAAACCGATCGACCTCGTTACAAATCATCCCTCTCTCCTTGCTGGGACACGAGTCTCCGAGGATCGAACGGGATGGATAAACGCGCAAACACTCTTCTCCCGCTGTATTTGCTCCTCTACCATCACCCCTGTAACTCCATCTCTCTTTGCTTTCTCATCCTTCTACTTTCTTTCTCTTTTTTCCCCTCCTCTTGTTACCCGTTTTTTTGCAGCCGAGGCGTTAAACCGGCTGACTATTAAAACCGCACCGGTTGCCAGTTTCAGGCGAGCGGCCATATTTCGGTGTCGGAAAGTCGAAAAGGAATTCATGGCTACTGCTGGCCAGCCAGGACACTGTGAATTAAAACACGCCCCGGCAAATGGACGAGTGGAAGAAGCGCGTCGTCGATGTTTTCTCGTTTCTCATAAAAAAAAAGAATGTCCGTTCCAACGGGCCACGAGCACTTAGCGAATGATTTTTAAATTGAATCATGTTTTTTCGCCAGGCCGTGCAGCATCCACTCTGTCTCTGTCTAGTGTTCGGGGCTGCCTCCTTTTTTTCTCTGTTCGTTTCATCAGATTCGCGAAAAAGGGTACCGGAAAACCCCGAAGAAAAGAGGAGGAAGAACGCGTTGACAAGTGAGAACGGAAGAGTGAAACAACTCTTCCGGCGGTTTTCTTCGACGAAGCAAGAAACAGCGACCGGTTTTTCGCTAGCCAGCAATTACTCTCGATTGTTTGGCCTGGCTGTCTTTGTTTCGGTGTAAATACCGCGATGGATGTACGTTTTGGCTTTTTCCTCGAGCAGTCTTCTCTCGTTCGCGAAGCTTGTGTTTCTTTACAGCGAACGTGTACGTTTTGTCCAACACTTTTATGAAAGGGAAACTGTTTCTTTTATCGGGCTAATATCGAATTTTTCTACGAATTTTCCTGTTGTCCTAATAGCTAATGGTAATTTAGGTTATCTTTATGGATTCGCTTTATTGGTTTGTTTTAATATTAATAGAACCAAGTTTAAATAAAATTTGAGAAATTATACTCGTAACTCTGGAACGAACTATAATAATATATATATATAATGTATAATATATAAGATGGAGATCCTTTTTTTTAAACAGAGACGAAGATTTCTTCGAATGATTTTTTTAAATTTTAAGACAAATACAATTTGCTAACAAAGAAGAATAATTAAAAATAATTGTGAATATATGTCATGGAACAAATTTCGGAAAATTATTTTTGAAATAAAGTACAAGGAAATAAAGCTTTTCTCCTCCAAATCAGAACCGAGAAGATTTAACTTTTAAAATGGTTAATTCTTTTCTTTGAACTTTAAGGTATTTAATTTCCCGTAAAGAAAAGTTAAAATAATGCACGTATATTATCACATCTATTTTGCTTAATATAACTTACAAATGTAACGATTATGTTCGTATCGTTTTTAAATGGATTAAACTCGCTGTCCGTTTTGTCAGCTCGAAGAAAACTCGATTTCTGATGCATATTCTGATGCAGATTCTCGAGAAATTTGACGCTGGTAAGTTTCACCGGCACTTGGTTTGTCAGACCGCAATTTAGATTAAAAGGAATAATTACAACAGCTATTTTGGACGAAACTTCACGTGCTCGTAAATCTGCTCACTCACTTCTCAACCGCGAGTTTTAGCGAGAACTTCTGCACACCGATAATAAAAGCAAATTAAGATACCTCGCTTGCCATTACGCCGACAAAAAACGAAATAATTGAACTACAAGAATGAAAAAGCAAGTTATTCACTGAGCAAAATATGAGATTTTTGAAATAATCAAAATGCTACCAAGAGACAAATGATTCCTTTTTAACGAATAAAGGGTCAAATCAATTCCAAATTATTCTACGACTATATTATTGAAATAATATTAAGATTATCTTAATTTAGATCAGTATGATAAGCATTGAATAGTTCAAATTACAAATATATATAGTGTACTCATTATTGAAATTTATTAATATTAAGTTCCATAAGTTTATAATCATAAAAAGATCAATAGAACTACGAAAACATCAGTCTCTTTTGAACAAGACTAAACTGATTGATGTTAATGATCGATGGATAATCGGAGAGGATTGTGTACGGGTGAGTTTAAGCGAGCCATAAGCGGTGGCTGCTTAAATCGAGGGCAATCTTATTTCCATCGTAGTCGAGAATAGTTCTGGTTGTACGTACGTCGATTTAGTGTCTTCGACGGGAAGTTTCCAGATGCTTTTAGTGGCCTTGGTTCGCGTGCATACCTACTTCCGGCCTGCTGGCTTACGGGTCTCTTCCTATGCCAGTTAAGCTGATGTCTTGGAGGTTGGAGGACTTGACAGCTTGCGGGCTAAGTGGTTGTAATACCTT